GCTGCTGCAGCCGTACGCCGCGCCCTACTTCAGCACCGAGCCGCCGCACTCGCCCGACTGAGTGCAGTGCACCGTGCCCCGCGTGCCGCACGCTGCTGCACCCGTACGCCGCGCCATACTTCAGCACCGAGCCGCCGCACTCGCCCGACTGAGTGCAGTGCACCGTGCCCCGCGTGCCGCACGCTGCTGCAGCCGCACGCCGCGCCCTACTTCAGCACCGAGCCGCCGCACTCGCCCGACTGAGTGCAATGCACCGTACCCTGCGTGCCCCGCGTGACACGTGCCCCGTGTGCCGAGGGTGCGAAAGGGTGAACAATCGCACAGTCCACCTGATGGTAAGTGGACGCTGTGGTCCATAGACATCTACATATTATATCCTCGATTGAGAATTAAGATTCAAAATCGTCGTTTTCCCTAAGGACCAAGATGAAATGCCTTTTTACCAGTAAAATATATACGTGGTAGAGCCATGCTGCAGTTATATTAGTAGTATAGTTGTAGCACAAATGGGTCGGCTCGACCGGGGAAGGACCACGCTTTCACAGAATACCAGCGTCAAATAGTAGCTTAATGCTGTGTGCTATGGTGAGGGTAGAGAATCCGAGACCCTTTTTACTGGAAACGAGGCATTTCACCTTAGTGCTCACGGGTGACAACGCATCTGCATTTTGATTCGTAATCAAGGATAGATGTCTATGGGCCACAGCAACCATTTACCATCAGGTGGACTGTGTGCTTGTTATATATAAAAACAAATAATAATTTAACGCATATTAAACGCCTAAAGAACTAAAAAGAATAAAGTAGTTACCGTATAATAGCTGCAAAATTTTTAGCTTTAAATCTACACACTATGTCTTAGCTTTAATTCTTTAAAGTCTACTTTTAATTTAGTCACTGTTTTAATTTACATTCAATCTGATTTCATTTACAATATTTTGAACCAGGATCACAATTTTAATATAAAATGTACTTCACATTAACCGTTATTCCTAAATAATTTTCCAATACTTTAAGTACTATGTGGGCACGGTAAAGTATAGGGCTGTCAAGTAGACAGTACTGTAAAAATATATATATATAAAATTTATTGTTTCCTTGTTTCTCACGTTTGCGTTCCTACACCATTCGTCCGATTAACGATAAAACTTTGTTGTGTTGTGCGCTCCCCGAAGGCTTCTGACAAAAAATTAATAATAGTTCATATGTTCGTTTTCAGTGTTTATATACCAATCATCTGATTACGAGTATTACAAGACATGCCGGATATTATTAGTACGTTTCATAAACTGCTATTTTTATTTAATTTGTTATTAATTTTACTTTGTGATCGCATTTAGTATTTTACTTCAAATAAATAGAATAATAATATAAAAAATGGTAGCGTTTGATGACAGTGTCATGAAAATTAATGTGTGAAGTTGTCAGCAAACTTAATCAATTCTTATAATACGGGCATAGTAAGTAATAGTGGAAGTAGTTTTTACTGCAACCTTCCGTTTTTACGGTAACATCAGAAATAATTAACCAGTATAAAATGAACTGGGATTATTTATTATAATTTTATGTGCAAACTGAGATCAAATTATTGTAAAAGTAAAATAAGTATGTATAAAAGAACTCGAGCGATTTTACTCTTTTTCTGCAATATATTGGATGACTTTTTTACCGTCTGGAAAAAATAGGGTAGAAGAGGTGAACGGAGTAGAAGCCTATGGCACTGATATTTTGCAATTATTTTTTCATGAACATATCATGAAATTTATCCATCAATAAATACTACTAATTTTAAAAAAAAACTTTCGTACTAAAAAATCTTAAAACTAAATACATAAATGAATTAAAATATATCGATCGAGATAAAATATATCATACGCATCCTACTCGTAAGGTGGCAATAAAACAATTAATTTGGTAACGCACTAGCTCGCACCCGCCTTAGGCCTCTTTGTGCTTGTCCTTTAGTGGGGTCACAGGCTCAATGGCAAAGTCGCCCGCGCTCTCATTTCGGTGACCTATGATTAGCTGCGGCGTGACGTCCGTCGTATTGTTATGTTTCCGCTTATGTATCGTAAACATGTACCAATACTCTAATGTCGAATATCTAAAGAAGAAAAAATGAAATTTTATGACTTGGGTGAAAACTTAAACGGTGCGACGAATCGATATTTACCCATGTTGGAATTTACAAGGTGCACAATGAGCACTGGTGGAGTTTCGAAACCCACACTAAATCAAAGAACATGCTTATCAAGTTCGTTTCAGTTTTAACGTTTGGGCGGCAATCCTTAACGATCACACCATTGGTCCAATATGGATTGAAGGTCGACTGACGGGAATAACGTATTTGAAAATGATACGTTCCATCATCGACAAATGTTTGAAAACGTTCCTCTGAGCCATCTGCAAGGAATGCACGACGATTTAGTACGACGGAATTCAATCTCATTACGAACGATCTTTTTTGTAAATATAAATTTGTGTAGCTTGTAAATAAATTGATTTCGATCTTTGCGGTAGGCATAAAATTCGTAGCCTACGCCGCACCGCGCCGTTTAAAATTATTTTAGTTTTATGCAAATGCGGTTGGAAGAATTGTTTTAATGTATTTTGTTGAATATTCGGAAATTTTGTCTATCCGTTATATTTTACAAAATACTTTCGAGGATAGCTTCTATTCCATTTACACAAAACATCATGTTATATTCCAGACGGTAAAAAATATCACCCAGTATAATATGTAAACAAAACCTGTATGATACGTAAGGGTGTTTTAGGTATTATGATATGATTTTTACGTTTATCCTTTTCAGAGATCAAAAAAATATATATATTTTAAATTAAATGGGGATACATAATGGCAATACATGCGGCGACCGTTGAATAACAATACCACCACATGTTCAAAGATATCGTCGCATACGACGGTGCTGCCAGATTTTAAAGATTTGCTGAATTTTAAGGAAGTTTTAGTAGGTTAACATTTCATTAATTTTTATTTGTTTGTTTGATTGTTTTGTAATGTCATTATGGTACCTATATGCCTCTGTCGGACCGGAAAAGGTATTTAAATAATCTAAATAGATCATATGTGTTAACTTTTCGGCGATATTAATTTCTCGGAAATGATAAAAATAAATGCTAAACGCATAAGTAAAATACTATAGTTAAGATAAAAAATGCTATCTATGTTGTTATTTAATTTTTATAATAAATTGTTTTATAGTCGAGTGTGTTCTCTTACAATGCAGTTTTGTTTTCTGATAACTACTTAGAAAATGGTAGTTCATAAATTTAATTGAAATTTCATAATAATCAACAAACTAAAGCAACGTTTGGGTACAGAAGGAACATTTCTGTAATCAGTTTAATCAGTTCAAGCAATAATTACTGTAAAAGTTTCCACGAGTTCTTTAGACAAGTATAATGCGGCTAGCTTGCGCAAAATAGAGTTTTGAACTGATAACACGATTGTGTACTGTATTACTTCGTTGAATATATTATATTGTGTTGTTCAAAAACACAATATATATTATGTTGTAAGAAACATTCGACTGGTGATTGTACGTTCAATTTGAAACGATTGTCGTCGAATCTGTATATATGTGAGCATTGTTTTAGAAATTATAAACTATTTATAAAAGTAAGCATATACTTATAGCCCATTGTTGGGAATTGGCTATGTTCTCATTATGAGGTGTATAAATATAAATTCTTTGTTTTATAGGTTGTATTAAAGAGTTAATGTTCTGTGATTACAAAAATGATTCTTAACAGGTTGGAAATATTGAAAAACTGTATTTTAGTCTAAAAACATAACAAGTACATGCCGTGTTAAATAATATTTAAGGAGTTACTATACACATACTTTAAAAAATCTGTGTATACTGTTTTAAATTAGTATCTATCACAAAAGTGATTATTCTTTTTGCCTTTCAAAGAAATTTATTATAACTTTTTTTAGGTAATTTTCAATTCGTCCCATTGTTATACACAATAACATAAGTTCGATTTACTAATGGTATGCATGTCCGAAAAGCATGAAAATAAATTGTTTGGACCATGGAGTCATGTGATAACTCTGGAAGTGCTAAATGAAATGGCGCTGTATGGCACATAATTGTAAGATATTAAATAAATTTTATTGTATATAATTACAACAGCTTCTTTATGTTCCTTATGTTTACCACCTGTGTGAGTTATGGAGATAGGGGGGGGGGGGTGTTATGCTCGAAGTTTCTTTGCGTGATAGAATTTGTAAGGCGGATATCTGTAGTAGTACCGGAGTTGGTTATTTAGCTCAACGGATCAGTAAGCTGATGTGGTAGACTCGTCCATATAGCTCGAAAAACAGACAAAGTATGGGAAAGAAGAAGAAAGGTCTGGAAAGATATCCCACGTGTCTTACCATGTCGTCAGATTGTAATGGTCCAGGAGCAGTGGCGAAGCTAGGGCTCCAAACTAGGGCAAGCCCAAGATATGGTTTTGTTGTTTTTAGAGGTTTTATAAAAATACACCAATCTTGAGCTGTCTCCACTCTTTAGTTTCATATTCAGTGCTGTCGAGAATGTGTTTAACGAAGCACGTAGAAGGCATACTACTGCTAGATAGATTGTATGACTTATGCAATTGCATACCTTCGGTGGCTTTAAAAAGAGCCGTTTGGGTTTGTTTGAGCGAAAGAAAAAGATATTTACATACAATACAATTCATGAACAAAAGAAAAGCATGAACAAAGTACAAACAAACTATATACAAAACTAAAAAAAGGGACGCCTGGCAGACGTGAAACATCGAATTTTTTTTGTTTAAGTTACGACAGGAATTAGATATGGTATAATTAGAAGATAAAGCTTTGCAAATTTTTTACCATAAAATAATGACTATTATATAATTATTCATTTTCAATTTTAATAAACCGTACAAAATGATATTTTTAACTCTTAAGGTAATATAAATATTAAATTAGCCGATAGCGTGTTTGTGCCATCTAGCGTAATCTTTACTTACCACCGTGAGAATCGATCAATTTTCGTTCGATAAAATGACTTCACCTTTAGAATTATGTAGATGGCGCTATTAAAATTTAATGTACTGAAAGACTAAAAGAAATATTATCTCATATTTTATGCTGAAGTTCAAAATGATATTTTTAACTCGTATGGTAATATAAGTATTGAGTTGTTAAATCTTTAAGTACGCCTAGAATAATTAAACTTTAGTACTAAACGGTCCTGTACATA